CAAAATGGGAAAAATAGAAAAGTAAATAAGACGGAGGCTGACGCTGTGTGGCTGAACTAAATTGTTTTTGAAGTCCAGCAAACGCAATAAATGTGTGCACCTAGTGAAAACATAATGGGATCTGTTCTGCCTTATATACAGTTTCTCTTCGGAAGCGAACAGCGCTGAATTAAATCAAAGATGAGAGTCACAAAAAGAAGTGTTACTGTATTCAAAGTTACATTTCGTTTTATTTTCTAAAATTATATTGAAATCTTTGAGTGATGACACAGAGAACATGATGAATATAACTTGGCAGGAGTCCTGAGTCTCCATATCTTATATCTGCAGCACAGGATGAAGACAAATTCATTTTTAAATCCCTAAAAACAAAGTTCTGGAAGTCTAATATAGATGTAGAATGAACAGTAAGAAATGCAGTTATCATGGTAAGACTTGGCAGAATATTATTTGGATGCATTTACTGTACATAACAAAAGGCAGGCTCAGGTTTTTAATCACAGTGACACTATGCCCCCTGGTGGCATGGAGAATGAAGCATTGGTGCAGCAAGTGAGCAATCGATTAAGCTAAGTCTAAAATAAATCTAATAGTCAATAATAGGACAAAACCCTGTGGTTTCCAATCAGAAAACGTGACCACAGCCTGACATATTTCAGAAAGCTGAAAGGTTTATTCTATAGTTGTACCAGGCTGGAGATGATTTTATTATTATTATTACTGACCAGCATGTTTTCTGGCAGCGGATATGACTGTTGTACTCATCGGAAGCATCGCAGCAATCTGGTAAGAAACACAGAGAGGAAAAACATTTGAATTCAGATTCAAGTTAAATGAGGAGTGTGCAAGTTATCAAGTAGTGGAGAACAGTGTCTTTAAAACGAGCTGCAACTTCTGTGTCTGTGTATGTGCACAGACATGTGGGCCACTGGTTTCTTCCTCATTATGTTGGTAATCTGTTCACTACCTAACTTTGAACAAAATTTGTTTAGTTGCTTTTAAAAAGGTTCACAAATGAGCAAGTGAAGTCCAAATATTAACGTTTTTAAGTTTTCCCGCACTGAAGACACAAACTGAGGCAGCAGTGATCTGTTCTGGGAACTAAATCACATTTTCCAGAGAATAACATTTGGTCAAATGAGGCCATGATTACATTAGAAATTACTTCAGTTTTTCTTATCAACAACTCTTTTGTTGAGCTTACTGACATGATAACTGACTGTTGTGGCATAGTTACTATATATTGACATGTACGTATATCATATAGAGATTTTTCAGTAAAATAGAGACATGATTTCTGGACCGTATGTTGTATTCTATAGATCCCACACCCATGTTCAGATACTATGTCTGTACTACTAAAATAAAAACAATCTAAACATGCACCATGGGGACACAGTCTAAATTTGCATTGTACTTGCATTAATATGTTATGTTATGTATGTTATGTATGAAAAGCACAATCTCAACCAGACATTATGATTTGTCTTACCACAGTTATGCTACGCAAATAAACAAAAAGTCTAGAGTTTGTTGGACCAGGGCCCTTAAAACAGCATTGCTGTGTTAACAATGGCTTGATTATTTAATGGGTAAACGTAAAAATATGCAAAATTCTCTATCACTACACTACTCACCTTTGATTCATCTGAACACAGTTGTAAAGCTCCATTCTGTTTATTAATGTGCTGTGTATGTGTATGAAACCTTATCTATGAAAACAGAATTAGGCTAGCCTTTTTACTTTTTCCCTGTACGTGTGCTAGGCTACAATCCTGTAATTGGAAAATTATCGCTCTGTCCCCACATGAAAGTATCCTCATAACCAATCATAATTGCACCAAAACAACATTATGTTAAATTATGTCTCCTTTAATATCTGAACCAAATGCCAATACTAACCAGAAACACTCATTAAAGTCAGGGACACTAAACTACAGACTCAGGGAAATTGTCATGCATCTATAAAACTGACAAATCTGTCTTCTTCCCAGTGCAGTTAATGAAGTTCATTCCCATCACCTTTCATCTGTACAAGGATGAGATTTGATCTGTTTTCTGCCTGATGTCTCTCTCTCTTTCTTTCTCTCCCTGGTTCAGAAAGGCTCTCAGGAGATCAGTCATTCAGAAGATCAGCTGCGTGGTATTTTGTAAGTGCTCAGATCTGCCATTTTCTTTCCACAAATCTTTCAACCCAAGAGAGTGGGCGCAGTGTGAAGCGTCTCAATTACCCAGAAACCCCTTGGTGACGAGGGGGAACAAGCACATTAGAGCTCCGTAAAGGGAACCTATGAAAAACCTCTACACAACCAGTTGATGTGGCATGTCAGCTATGAAGTGGCTAGACTCAGGGCAGGGAAGGTGTGATGGGATAAGAGGGAGTGGAATGAAAGAAACGGGAAAGTAGGGGGAGGACTTTTTTTTAAATCGCCTTTCTGTTTTTTTATTCTTTGCTCTTTTCTGGGTGTTATGGTTGCACATGCTGTCAAACATTGGAAACATTAGATGGTATCATTTGCCCAAAAGGGAAGGACATACCTGGGTGAGAAGTGTGGTCAAAAAAAATGTTCAATTAGGCATAGATAGAGAGCAGAGCTCCAGAGTTCCAGAAATAGTCTTGAGCATTAAAAGCAAATGTTTTCCTTAACAAACAGCTGAGAAAAGAGAAGTGTCTACATCTAAATGAGTGGTACCTCCTTTTGTACACTGGAATTAGAATGGATGTCTTTTTTCAATGACTGTAAACTATTGTTACCCTTGTTATAAACAGTTAGTCACAAATGTTTGTTTAGTGCACTTCAGTAAGAAAGAAGAAATATAGCACTGTAATGATATTATGTTCCCAGGGTCAGTGCAACTGGACAAGGATGGACACAATTTTTGAATGAAATGGCCATAAGAGGCAGGATATCCAGGCACAAACAACAAACTGCCATGAAGCATCCTAAACACCAGGGTGGTATTCCAGGAAGCAGATTATGTGAAAACTCAGAGCAAGTTAACCCTGAGATGAAGGCAACTCTGTGTTATTCGTTCCAAAAACAGAGGTAACTGAAACTCTGAGTCAGTCACCATAGTAACAGACTCTGTGAACATAACCTGCTCGCTGGCAGGTTTGCTTGAAGAAACCCTTTGTTTCTACCTGTCTCCTCTGACAAGATGATCGCTGTTTGACATGTTTTGTCCATTCATTCCCAATCCGATATGACATTTTTATATCTCATTTTTAGGACTGCATTCCAGTTTACGTATGACTGTTTACATATGACATTTGCTGTATTAACTGTTAAAATTAATGAAATGTATACCTTATTTATAAAAAATACTGAATGCAAATGTGTATTCCAGTGGTTTTTCTTTTGTGTACATGCGTAGCTGATACAGCATATAAATCCGACAGAACACCATCTCTCTCTCTCTCTCTCTCCTTTACTACTTTTACAGCGAATTATGTGGTCATAATTCCCACACTCTCTAATTCTATTGGGGTAAAATAAGTTGTTTTTTCTTCGGTTGTCATGATGTCCCCTTGTATCGGAGCTACATTGATTATGACTTTTCATAGTGGTTGTGCATGCGCATAACTAAAGGTGAACATACTTAGAGTTGATTGAACAAATTCAGAGTGGTTGTTCTGGAACCGCATAAGTTTCCCATCTCAGAGTAAGACAACTTCAGAGTTCAGGGACAAACTCAGAGGTTTTTTTAACAACCTTTCAGGAATACCCACCAGGATATTGCAAACAAGCAATAACAGACAGTATAGTTGAGAAAATTAAAAAACATGTTGTTGTTGTACAATTTGCAATGATAAAAATCAAATCAAATTCCACCACCAGAGCCCTACACAGTCATGAGAATGAAGTAAATTATACTGAAGACTGTTTCAATAATTACATCTTACCATTCCTACACTAGTAATTCATTCATTTCCATGAATATATTTTGTGAGGTTTTTAAACAACTGCTGTATGTCAACTGTTAAAATGGAACACTAAAAGACTTACCACAGATGCCATCATTGACACGAGACGATGGAATGTAGTGTGGTCGGAACCCCAGATTGGTGCAGTAAAATCTCCCACGAGGGCAGGCGGATGTCCCTGCATATTGTCACAGCAAAAGACAGATAAAAAAAAAAAAAATCGACCTTGGAAAGGACTGAGCTTTGGTATTGATGATAAACAATATTGATTTTTTTTTTAAATATTACTGCACGTCCTATGAAACATGCACATTTTCATGACGTAATTGGCACCTGTGGTATTGTTAGTCAATTTTTGCACAGACACACAGTACGTTTTAGAATTTATTTTTAAACCCAATGTCTTTTACTCTGACACGTCCTTTATACACAATCTATGCTTTTCCACCCTCTGGACATATCCAGTATTGGACAGTAGAGTCCCATTGACTAACATTAAAACCACATCTGTCTGCCATTACAGTATAAAACTGTGCATTCTGTAATGCCAGGTATTTCATGTATCCGTGAATAACGTATTTACCTGGTTCATCAGAGCCATCTTCACAGTCACAGTAGTCATCGTTCACCTGCTCAAAGGGAATGAGTTTGGAGCCATCGATGCACAAAAAAGATTTTCTTTCTCTGTAGAAGCGTTTGTCTGTTACAAAACAATGAAAGTACAAAATTATAAATATCGATGTTTTTTTAAGTTCCACTTAGAGGATACAAAAAGCAAAGGATAAACTGCAAGATAAAAAAAAAGTTCTGTTATCGATGACGTCTAGTCGTAATGCATTCAAAGTGTAAATCATTACATGTAATTGAATCAGCGAGCTACTGCTCCATGCTGTTTGACCAGAACCAGTGTGTTCATGTTGCCGAAATGATACACGTTGTGGAGCAATGCAATGTTTGCAGACTTGTAGCTTAAAGCTAGGTGTTTAGAGGACTTACAGGACGATGATATCCCTCTAATTTTTCGCGAATCTGCGAATGCACAACAAAACACTGATGCGATAAAAACGTAGAAACGCATGTCAGAGAGCAGACGAACACACCGTCTCTCTGATGCCTGGTTAAAACGCAAACAGATCCCGCTCAAAGCAGTTTAAATTTCACAAGCAGGAGACGGACGTTTAAAGCAGATACAGCTGTGATTTCCGGAAACAGTCGGTCACATGACATAATGAAGGTATTTGATTGGGTGAAGCAGTCCTAGTCTTCCGTGACTAAAAAAATGTTCATTTATACTGTATTACATATAAATAAAAAATACAAAGTAATAAAATAAAAGTTATTTTAAAAAATATGCTTAAAAATTAAAATAAACATTAAAATATGAAATTATTTTAAAGACAATTTCAAACTACATATCAATATCAGTGGACTAAATATTCAATAGAATGTAAATTATGAGTATTTTTGAACTGGGAATTAAATGTTTCACACAGCCATTTCTCAAAATATGATCCTGTGACTTAAGTCAAGGGTTTTGTTTGCTACAGTTGGGTTAGTGGAGTCACTGTCAAAAGTTGGTGTGTTTACAGTATACTCAGATCTATCAATCAATCTATTAATCAATCTATCACTCTATCTATCTATCTATCGATCGATCGATCTATCTAATCTATCGTCTATCGATCTATCGATCTATCTATCGATCTATCTATCTATCTATCTTATCTATTATTATCATAATTCTACATCTAGGTCTGCATATCTTTTTATTTTCTCTCTGTCTAACCTTTAAGTTCACACATGTTGCTAAAATCTAATTTCCTTCCCAGTAATGTATCACTGTGTGAGTTACATTACAGATACATAGTATAAAAATGAAGATGAAACTGCAGATATATGACTATCAACTACAGCAGAACCACCAGATCCTCAACCCCTGATTAGTTTTGCACATATATTTAGGTTTGTGTCGGGTTGAATCACTGCATGCTTGGTGAGCCATAGATATACTGTAACTTAATTTCCAGGTATGTTGAAATACACATCAGCGGGCAAATTCACTGCATGATAGAGAATCCATCTACATTTACTGTAGAACTAAACCTTGAGATTAAATTCACTGGTGTGTGTGTGTGTGTGTGTATGTGTGTATGTGTGTGAATGTTTGAAGGTGAAGTTTGCACCAGAGAACCTGCAGTTGAACATAACTAAAGAGGAGATAAAACAGAAGAAAAAAATAATAGCAGAAAATGACGAATGCATGTTTTATTGTGACTGTTTATTACCAATAAATCATATACACATTTACAAAAACACAGGGTTGGGGTGTTTTCATTGATGTACAAAAATACAAGGTAAATATAGGAAAAATAAATGAAAACGAAAATAGGTATGTTTTTAATCTGTCACTTCTCACTGTTCAGCCGTGAGTACAGGCTCCCTGTGTTGCACAGTGCTTCCTTACTCTGGAGGTAGGAAAGGTCACGGATCATGCCTGGGAAGGAGTAGGAGTCCAAGGGTGGACGCAGTGGAAACACCGGCATCAGTCCGGAAGTCATATACGGTGACATAAACCCGGTCAAACCGCCGTTTGTAGAGGAATACGCCAGCCGTAAAGGACTGACACCGAGGCGAGGACTAAGTCCGAACATGTTCTCTCCTCCAGCGGCCGTAGGAGGCATGTGGAGCGGGGCGAAAGCTGATTTGCTCCCAAGGGCACCAAGCGCACCGGGCAACACCGCAGAAGCCCTGAACGCGTTTGGATAATTGGACACAGGCAATGTCTTGGTATCAGATGTGTTCTCTTTAGAGCTTAAAACTAGTTCGATGGATTTGACAAGGTCACCCTTACAGGTTCTGACCATAGACTCCAGGGTGTCCCGTTTCTGGTGGGGGAAAATCTTGGCCATGATGTCGGTCGGGTCGCGCTCCAGACTCGGGGAGTCAGTGGATTTCTCCGTCTCACTGCCTGACTCTGGATCAGAAGATGATAGCGACCTCTGCGGACTGTCTGTGTGATCTGAACTCAGGTCAAACACCGGGGATGGGCTGACACTGTCATCAACAAGTGGAGCGTTGCTGTCCTTTGGAGAGCACTCAGTTTTCTCTGATGGTGAGGGAAGGCGTGTGCCATGAGGCGCAAAGAGAGAACGTCCCATGAATCCGTTGTAAAGGTTGAACTTATTTATTTTGTCATCTGGAATAAGAGTGACAACAAACAAATCGTCAGAAATGCGTTTGCATAATTACAAGTAAAGCCAACTTGTGCGTAAAAGGCAACGCATTAATGCGTAAAAAAGCACGATCTGTATGTGTGTGAATGTTTGAAGGTGAAGTTTGCACCAGAGAACCTGCAGTTGAACATAACTAAAGAGGAGATAAAACAGAAGAAAAAAATAATAGCAGAAAATGACGAATGCATGTTTTATTGTGACTGTTTATTACCAATAAATCATATACACATTTACAAAAACACAGGGTTGGGGTGTTTTCATTGATGTACAAAAATACAAGGTAAATATAGGAAAAATAAATGAAAACGAAAATAGGTATGTTTTTAATCTGTCACTTCTCACTGTTCAGCCGTGAGTACAGGCTCCCTGTGTTGCACAGTGCTTCCTTACTCTGGAGGTAGGAAAGGTCACGGATCATGCCTGGGAAGGAGTAGGAGTCCAAGGGTGGACGCAGTGGAAACACCGGCATCAGTCCGGAAGTCATATACGGTGACATAAACCCGGTCAAACCGCCGTTTGTAGAGGAATACGCCAGCCGTAAAGGACTGACACCGAGGCGAGGACTAAGTCCGAACATGTTCTCTCCTCCAGCGGCCGTAGGAGGCATGTGGAGCGGGGCGAAAGCTGATTTGCTCCCAAGGGCACCAAGCGCACCGGGCAACACCGCAGAAGCCCTGAACGCGTTTGGATAATTGGACACAGGCAATGTCTTGGTATCAGATGTGTTCTCTTTAGAGCTTAAAACTAGTTCGATGGATTTGACAAGGTCACCCTTACAGGTTCTGACCATAGACTCCAGGGTGTCCCGTTTCTGGTGGGGGAAAATCTTGGCCATGATGTCGGTCGGGTCGCGCTCCAGACTCGGGGAGTCAGTGGATTTCTCCGTCTCACTGCCTGACTCTGGATCAGAAGATGATAGCGACCTCTGCGGACTGTCTGTGTGATCTGAACTCAGGTCAAACACCGGGGATGGGCTGACACTGTCATCAACAAGTGGAGCGTTGCTGTCCTTTGGAGAGCACTCAGTTTTCTCTGATGGTGAGGGAAGGCGTGTGCCATGAGGCGCAAAGAGAGAACGTCCCATGAATCCGTTGTAAAGGTTGAACTTATTTATTTTGTCATCTGGAATAAGAGTGACAACAAACAAATCGTCAGAAATGCGTTTGCATAATTACAAGTAAAGCCAACTTGTGCGTAAAAGGCAACGCATTAATGCGTAAAAAAGCACGATCTGTTTTTTATTTTATTTTATTTTATTTTTTTTGGTGAACTTACCATCTTTTTGATTCTCCGCTCGGTAAACATCAAAACTTGCTCCAACAGCTGATGGAGTGCTGCTTGCTGGTGCTGCCAACCCGGATCCCCCAGGTGACCCATGAGGGACCACTGCTTCCCCTCCGATCCCAGAACCCGAGTACAGCAGCCGCAGCTCCCGGGCCTCGCTCTCCTCCTGGGCCTGCTGCCTCCTTAGCGCCACCTGCGCCGCCATCACTCGCTGCCGCTCGGCTATGAGGGTGCACTTTGCGCACACACAGTCTCTCCAGCGACAAAAGCGCTTGTGGCCCTTCAGCGCGGACACTACGCCGTGGTTTCTGCATCTGGCGCACTTCGGAGTGCGGGGGTATCCCCTCTCAAGTGCGGGGTTACACGCCCGGAGGAAAAGTGAAGACGGGCGCAGGAGGGATGGGGGCACCTGCAATCCACCGAGAGAGGAGCTGGAATGGCCCGTGAGGCCAAGCGGCCTGATCCTGTTGCTGTCCATCGCCCTGGAGGGAAGAGACTGAGTGCGGTCCAATGCAGTGATTCAAGTGTAGTCATTCAAGTAATGTGGCCCTCTGTGGACGAGTGGAGTCTGTACTGCCGCTGGAACCGTGAACTAGCGCGCCTTAAGTGTCTCCTCTCCAGGTGGTTTGACATGAAACACAACACCACCGTCACACCCCTTTCCGTTCCAGCCCTCTCCTGTTTGTTTGCATCCCGAATGAATAGTGGTTTTATTTGATGCAACTGAACATATATGCAGCTGGGAGAGAAGTTCTGCCAGGAGCAATGGTGACTGATATTAAGTTCCACTTAAAAATGCAGTCTGATGATTTATACACAAACTCTCAGCAGTGTTTAATTGCTCCTGGGTATAGTAGGAATGACATGGTCTGGGTAAACTACATACAATGAACCCTACTGTTTGCCCCAATGAATATTCACAGTAAGGATGTTTTTTAAACAAAACAATGGCCCCAACAACCACAAAAGCAACAGGTAATTATCTACCTGGTTATCCTGTTGAACAAATTACCCTGACAAAAGACCCATCTGTCAACAAACATGCAGTGAGATTAGTGGATAACTAATCACACCTTGTCACATGTTTCATTCACTTCTCTGCATCCAAACTGGATCCGGTTACACGCAGCAGATTGCCTTACTGTTATTACATGCAAGGACAAGGAGAGCATGATGTGACAAACACATATCGCCCAGGGAAACCCATGAAAACCATTGTTCGTAGGGCATTTGTGTTTCATCCACCAACAGTTCTGCAATGTATACTTTAAAATTTGGCTTCACACACTGTGAGTGTGTGCTGTTTATTTCTGAACCCGTGCACACACATCCAGAGTTGATGAATTAAACATTAATAATGGTTGCATCCACTGCTCTAAGACATTCCCCGATCATCCTCAGATGCGAGTTTCAGACACCACAGCGGTTTCTCTTGGTCTGCCTGTAGCTATGTCTCCACCACACTCCCGCTGAATAATGGATGTGGGTTAAAGAGGTTGTGTGTGGAAGCACTTGACCCCGCTTTTGGTGCTATACCGAGATAATGATTCTCTAAAGGGCAGCGCTGAGGGATGATCTGCAACAGCACAGGTCAAGAAAATAAAGCTTTCTGTACAACACACTGATGATCCAGAGCGGATACAGCTGTCATTAGTAGTTAATGTTGATGTTTACTTCACACACACAGACTGGTGTGTGTTTTTCGTCTTTGATTAATTTGTCTGCAAATGCTTCACCCTGATCTTGGATTGTTTGACTCACTTCAGATTCTCCCATTGGTCTAATGTGTAAATATATATGTCTCTGTACTGCATTAACTCTAATGTCTAATGTCAATATGCATTAATATTTGGCATTTGACATAGACAAGTATATATTTGCATGAAGCGCATGGTAGCATTTTAGAACTGTGGTTCTCAAAGTAGCAGCAGCCCATTGAAGGGGCAGCAGATCAAATTAAGTTAATTTGATATACATTTTCATTGTGCTACAGTGAGAAAAAATACCAAGGAGGGCGCTGCTGAAAAAGTTTGGGATATGTTTAATTCCAACAGGTTGGTCCCAAAAGTTCAATGTTTAATTTAGGCGAATCAACATCTGGCGTTATAACAACATTCTCAGCATTGGATCAGGGGAACTACAAGCTCTCCGCTGACACCAAATTCTTACATACTTAACCTTGACAGCCTGACAAAACCAACACACGTAAACTTGTGAAATCAAACTCCTGACGTTTCCAACACCTGTTAAAATGTCAACCATAAGAGACACCAATGCTATTACAGCATACCAACACCATGCTTTGGCATGTAGGTGGTGGTGCACTCACACCTGCAGACAGGGTGAAAAAAAGCATATTCTGCAGCACATCCATAATGCCTGTACTGCACTACCAGAAGCATATCGTTCTGCTATTTGCACATTGATGTGCTCTACAAGTTGTGGGCTTTAATAGATACGGGTTACGCACAGACTACCTCCAGCTGTGACATGACAATAATCTAACAAAGCATCTGTCAACAACATGGAAGCTCAAAAACGCAAAATAACATAAATAAATGCCTGTGATGCAAAAGCTGCATGGACGCACATGGAGCCTTTATCGTTCCATCTACTGTGAAGTGGAATTCGAGGTTGGGATTTGTGGCTGGCAAGTTTATCCAGGTACATTAAGACTGCTCTCACCTGTCTTTTTTTTTTTGGTCATGTTTTTTCTTTGTGTTAAACACTTTAATTAAACAGTTGGATCAGTTTCAGCCCTTTCTTACAAGGATGCTGCTTTAGTTTGCTTTTACGTAATTGAATTTAGTCATTGTGAAATTCTATATGGATGAATGAGTTTTATATATTATATAAGTTTTCTTTTTTTTCCTTTATTATTTTTAAAATGTATTTAGACTATGTAGACTTTTTATGATCAGTGTTTTGGTAATGTTTGCACTTTTTGTTTCATAATTTCTATTTTATAATTATGTAATCCCTACCAAACTGCTATTCTTTCAGCTTTAAACAAAATTCTGGAATTAAAAATACTTTGCCGTGCTGCTCTCCCATGCCCCCATCAAAGGCATTAAGCTTTAGCTCTTTATGAGATGTCAAGTTGTCTCAGGGCTATTTTTTAAATGAATTCATTACATTTTTGCAGGAGTTTTACCTCTTAAATATTACATACTACAGAAAACCAGCTGGGCCAGCTTTTCATAATGAAAATTAGGATTTCAAGGTCATATTCAAATATCATCAGAGCATTTTACAAACTACTTCAAATTTCTTTATTTTCAGTGCCTTCAATCTGTTCAACCTGAGACCACCTGCGTCTTTTAAAGCCTTATTGTATTGTATTGAAACAGTGTTTTAATTCCTAATACTTTATTATCCTGTATTTCATCCTAATATAATGACAACAGCTATATGACACATTGTTATCTGTGGCTTTTAACGTATACGCAGTCCATGCTGGGCTTCAATTCTTTTTTTTCCAGCCTTGCCCTTAACACTGAATAAAAAGGATTATCATAAATAAGAGCAGTTAGAGTAGATAGAGCCAGACAGTGTCTTAATTGTGTTCTTAACAGATCTGTCCATGTCAGATACGGTGTTTCATCACAGCCATGTGCCTCCCAGGACAGGGCTTTATCAGTGCAGCACCTTATCTGACGCAAGGTGGCTGCTAATCTACTCACGAATCTAACAAAGCCTGATTATGTCTTCCACTATCAGGGAGGGAGGGAGGGTAAGAGGGGTGAGAAGGTAAGGCTGGGAAGAAGTCAGATTCGTCATTAATCTGCAAATCAAGGAACCAAGAGTTGTGGCTCCTCTGCATCCTTAAAAGACCTGCAGAGTCACAGGAAGGATTTGTGTCCTTAAAGCACTGACACTACATTTAAAGACAACTGTTATTTTTGGATGTGCAAAGAGTCACCTGACCATAAGTTAGGCATTTAGTGGCCCAGATATGGTGAACATAATGTGCCTCAAGGGAGCCTAAGATAAACAAAAGCTGGATTTCTTTTAATAAAAGATTATCTGGCTCATAGTGCAGAAAGAAAATGTGAGGTTGATGCCATACAGCACAAAAATGTCTATGGAATCACATAAAGGACATGTTTTAGATTGTACATGTACAGTAGATGCTACAGGTGCGTGTAGCCCCGTGGTTATCAATGATTTTCAAAATTGCAAATAATAAAATAATGTGAACAGAAATGTTTTCACGCCCCTCAACCCACACCCAGTGAATTGAACTACCATTGAACACCTGATAACGCGAACATTTTTTCTGTACAAACCACTGTATGAGTTGCTGCCACCTAGTGACTGGAAACTTGTTATCATTCAAGCATTACAGCAGTGGACACCCCCCCCCCTTCCCACCCGGAACCCTGTCCCACTATTTGAGAAGTACAACATTCAGGATGCAAGATGTGGACCTGACATGGCTGAAGAAATATGACCCATATTTTGGACACCCCATATAGTTAAGAAGAAGTCTTCAACTCATGTAGCTCAAATTACTGAACATGGACCACACAATCTTGGCTCATCAAATGTAGGGTAAGAAGATGATATATTTTGGTGGTACATTTTGGGCCATGTACTTCATTGTTATAGCCTAGAGTAATAAATGATATGGCCGATGATTGGGCCAGGCAAATTGTGCTATGTGAGTTAAACTGTAGATATTGCAATAATTATTGTAAATTTGCTACAAAAACATGCGCTCCTTCCTATCTTTGGTCTGCAGAAATGAAGTACAATCACAACACATGATCCTGTTGAGTAGTTGATAAAGACGTTCTGATCATATTAATCCTAATCCCTCTAAATCCTTCTTAGCTGGCTGGATCAGACCCAGTAGCTCCAGGTTTTTGCAGTCAGATCATGTCATTGTCGCCAAGTTCCAGTCACAGAGTTTTAAAAAAGTCCTTCTGTGACAGCACCAGGAAACATCTCACTGCCTCAGGTTACAGGGCTGCAGCATCGCTGCTGAATTTAAAGTACTTTAAGATAAACTAGTTACTCTTTCTTCCAGCGTGTCGGCGGGTCTTGACCTGCGTGTGTTTACTTTCTCATCTGTCACTCTTTACTCCTGTCATTCAAGTGCCACAAAGTAGCCTCCACTTCACTGCCGACAGTTGAGTACACACCAAAGATAGTGGTCAAGTAGTGGTTGTTGTGATTGAATGCAGAAAAAAAACAGTAAGTTCAAGTAACTTTCTTTTCCTTTTCTTATCCCTGACACTTTAATGTGCTGAAGCTCTGGGGATGAAGGGACAAAAAAACAACAAAGTGAATTGTGTTCTCTGCCATGTGTGTGGTCCCAGTGGAGTTTAACCAACGATTCTCTCAGTTAGTTTTTGCCCAAGGATGTTGACTGTGCTGTTCGTCTTGTATTTTCTGTTTACACCCCTGAAGCATACCGGCCTCCTAGAAGAGAGATTCTCCTAACACCATACATAGAAAAGCTGTTAAATACAAAATATAAACATAAAATGTTTTCCTGTTACATTAAGTATCACAGATGGCGAGTTTTATGAACAAAATGCAACGCAAATGATTCCCAGTTTAATAATACTGTTTTAATTATTCACTCACCAGTTTTCAAGCTTTTTTTTTCTTTTATGAGTGCAGGTTGAAGGTGATAAGAGGTATGTTTGGATTTAAGTAAAAGACCTGGTCGTTTGTTTTGTTTTGTTTTTTGTTTTTTAAAATTATAAAAATTTCACAATAAAAATGTGCCGAATAAAAAGTCGTTCATATTCTATGCACACCTTAAACACATGCAAACACACAAGGGCAATATATTGTCCTCCCCTATTTCCAGTGTGGACTCTGTATTATACTATCTTCTGCCATCTTCTCGCCCCCCATCTGATATTTCCCCATCTACTCTGTGTCTCCTCCTCTTTAGTGGTGGTCTAAGTCTGGTAGGTATCCATCAGGGCCCCTCACTTAGCCTGGTAATGCTTCAGTTCCAGGGAACAATGGTGGGCCAAACACAGCCAAGTTAGCTTCTGAGCGCTGTGTGTGAATGTGTGTGTGTGTGCGTGGGTGGGTTGTGTGCACAGCCAAGTGTGTTGCTGTTTTAATC